TGTGGTGTTGGAGAAGACTCTTGAGAGTCCCTTGGACTGCAAGGAGATCCAATCAGTCCATCCTAAAGGAAATCAGTCCTGAATATTCACTGAAAGGACTGATGCTGAAGCTGAAACTCCAATACTTGGCCACCTGATGAGAAGAGCTGACTCATTTGAAAAGACGCTGATGCTGGGAAAGACTGAGGGCAGGAGGAGAAGGGGACGACAGAGGATGAGATGGTTGGATGGCATCACTGACTCAATGGACGTCGGTTTGGGTAAACTCCAGGAGTTGGTGATGGACAGGGAGGCTGGGTGTGCTGCGGTTCATGGGGTCGCAAAGAGTTGGACACGACTGAGTGACTAAACTGAACTGAATGTGGTTGCAAAGGCTACAAAATTTGAAGTGGTCAAATTTTACATGTTTACCTATAAAAGACAGAAGAAGTATGTACAACCAAGAAGAAACACGAGAGATTAGCAGAGATTTACAGAAACAGTGTTAGGACAACTAATGCTGTAGGGAGCAGAGGCTTCTTCTCCAAAATAGTCGAAACAACTAAAAAAATTTTTAAAAGTTACTTTGGGTGTATGAATAAGAACAAGGAAGAGTTAGGCCCACCCCTGTGCCTATGAATTCCCGGGGAAGGAAAATACTCTTTGGACCAAAAAGAAAAGGAAGAGTAGATATAGATAAGAGCAAAGTGAAGCAAAGATAGGTGGAACACTTTAAGAGCCTCTAAATTTCAGGGAGCCCACTGACACACTCTTCCAGTGATCCTGGAAGAAACTTGCCATCAGGAGAAGGTACCAACAGGTGAGTAAAGAGCAAGTGTCATCCCCAACTTTCAGTACACTGGGTGAGATCAGTCCAGGTAGGAGTCCTGAGTGGGTAACTGAAGGGACCTCAAGGAGTCAGGTCCAAGGACAGCCATCCATCCATCTACATCCAAGTAATCAGTGCCTTGTTTTATGTGGTCACCGGACCAAGAGATGAGGAGGTCACAGGTCACAAAAGCAAGGGCTGCAAGCCAAATCTGCCACAGTCTGTTTTGTTTGGTTTTTGTTTGGGAAAAAAAAAAAAAATCAAATTTTACAAGAAGCCCAGATACTCTTGAAGGCCCACACTCCTGTCTGGCAACTTTGTCTACAACTGAGCACTGACTACTTCTCCAGCTCACGCCCAGTCGCATTATTCACATCGCCTCCTTTAAACCAAGGCCAGGAGTCAGGGATTATTTATTAACTGCTCAAATTAATTAGCACTTCATTCATTTGTGTTATTTGCCAGGGCCCTGGGTTTGTGAATCAGGCTGCAGACATCCAAGTTCCACAAGGTTGGCTGTGATTCCTCTGAGGGCCAGTTTCAGGAAATGATGGGCTGGCTGGGTTGGCTCACCAACGGCTGAATAACCATACCCAGAGTACAAGTCAGGGTGTGTTGGGGGGCGGTCTTCAGTGGTCTGCCACAGGGCTCTGTCCTCAGAACTGTCCTGGTCAACATGTTTATTAATAATGATAGTGAAGGCACACTTATTAAATAGACAAGTGACAGGACCAGGCCAAAAGGTCAACAGGCAGGAGAGAAAAAGATCTAACAGGTAAACAAGGTCCTAAAACACATCTCTGCAAGTCAAAGATGGAAGCAGCACAGAGCAGCGGCAATAGTGTTCGTGAAAACATCTTAGTAATCAGGAGGGGGAAAGACTTACTGACGGTATACTCAATGTGATGTGATCTGGCAACTTCAGAAGATCTTATTACTCAAGGTTTCTCCAAACTTCTTTACTACTGATACCACCAACAATAAGAAACACATTTTACACTGTGATCCATTAGATTCTTATATACATATGACAGGTTTACAAAACAGTATTTCCCCTTACTAGATACACAAATCCCTCCCCTCCTTTTCCTTGCAGGTTGATTTCACAGTCTACTAACAGGTCCCAACCAACCTATCTGCAGGTGGACACGCACATGGGACCTGCCTGGAAAAGGACCTACAGCACAAGCTTGTGCCTGGGCAGTGAGGGGCACAGAGACAGAACAAGCAGAACAGTTCAAAACCACGAGAGAAACAGGCCCCTTCTGGTTCTGAAGAAGACAAAACTCAAGAAGATCTGAGGACCTATCATTTGGGAATAAAATTTAACTTGTTTCGAGTGGCCCTAAGAGGTGGAATCAGAAAACG